CTTGCCTCCTTCCCCAAGTTGTTGTGCAATCTGACATAGGCTATACATATACATTCCTATTAAACATATTTTCACATTAGTGATGTTGTAAGGAAGAATTAGAGTCAATAGGAGGAATCACAAGAAAGAGAAAACAAAACAGAAGGAAAAAAATAGCAAATAGTATGCTTTGATCTGCATTCAAACTCCATAGTTCTTTCTTTGGATATGGATAGCATTTTCCATCATGAGACTTTTGGAGATGTCTTAGATCCTTGCATTGCTGAGAAGGGCTAAGTCTATCAAAGTTAGTCATTGTATAACATGGCTGTTACTGTGTACAACATTCTCCTGGTTCTGCTCACTTCACTTAGCATCAGTCATACAACAGTCCATACATACATCAGTCCAGGTTTTTTGAAATCTGCCTGTTCATCATTTCTTATAGCACAATAGTATTCTATTACATTCATATACCACAACTTGCCCTGTCATTCCCCAATTGATGAGCATTTCCTCAATTTCTAATTCTTTGCCACCACAAAAAGAGCTGCTATAAATATTTTTGTACATGTGGGTCCTTTTCCCATTTGTATGATCTCTTTGGGATATAGCCCTAGAAGTGCTATCGGTGGGTCAAAGCATCCCTGTCATTCTTAAAGACTTGGCCACCACTCTCTTACATGTGTTGTCTCCAAGAACATTAAGTTCCTTGAGAGTAGGGAATGTCTCTCTCTTTTTTTTTAATGTTTATATCCCTAACACACAACACAATGTTTGGTACATAGTATGAGCTTAACAAATTGCTTTTTCATTCACATGCACAAAGCACTATGCTGAAAGTTTAAAAAAATAGTCAACTGTACAAGTACAGGATAGAAAAGACTTGGTTTAACAGTAGTTCACATAAGAAAGACCAAGGAATTTTAGCTGACTTCAAGTTCAATACGGTTTAACTGCATGATAGGGTTCCCCTTAAACTAAAGCAATCTGACATTACAATAGTAGAATACAATATCCAGATCAAGGTAAGTGGTAGTTCTACTATACTCTGCCCTAGTTAAGACACATTTGGATTGCTATGTTCAGTTTTAGTAGCCCTGTTGTAAAAGGAACATTGACAACCTAGAGCAAATAGTCATTAGAGGATGGTGACCATCATGACAAAAAGTTTAGAAATTATGTCATGTGAAGAACAATTGAAGAAATTGGGAATGATTAGCCTGGAAAAAAAGATTTAAAGAAGGCACAATTACCATTTTCAAATATTAGCAGGCTATTATATAGGAGAGAGATAATATTTATTTTATATAGTGTCAGAGAACAGACTTTAGAAGGAAAAACTTTCTAAGAGTAAGAGCTGATCCAAAAAGGAATGGATTATCGATGAGTTAGTAGGTTTCCTGTCCTCTAAAATAGAAGCTGGCTGATCACTTGTCAAGAATATTATAGAAAGATAATTCCATGTTGGACACAATGATCTTTAAGGTCTCTTTCTAAGGTTATGACCTTATGAACCTTTTGAAAATATGTACCCTTAACCCATATATTGTTATCATCTAACAATTTATATAACAAATATATTGGTTAGTAAAGATTGAAACCATTTTATAGAATGCCTTGTATAACATACTATATAGTACACTAGATACCAAATCAAAACCACATCATCCTGAAAAGAGAATTTGTGAAAAATGTTGTTAAAGCTAAATTATTTTAGCAGTAAAAGTGCTATTGTAATTAGAAATCTTCTGATAAGCTTCTAGTCCTGCAATTGGATCTACTAGTAAAAATGGCCCTTTTGAAGAATAGTTTTGTGTTTTTATTGCTGGAATGCTCCAGTTTTTTAATATGACCCTTTGGAAATATAGTAAATGGTATCCTGGCATTTTGCTGACAGGTTTCTAAGATTAGTAGGAATGGAAGCTGAAACTAATATTTTTTCTAAATGTCAGAAACATATTGAGCACAGAAAAAGTTCTAATGTAGAATTCCTAATGCCCTCATTTAGAAAAGCTCCAAACAGGATTTTTCTATGTTTTATACTATTTCAAGATGATATTTTAATGAGGTTTACAATTTCTTAAAAATTATTTTAATAAGAATATGTTAAGTGGTCCCAGAGTACACCATTTTTGCTCTAATTCATTTTTAGCCATCACTATTTCTGTGTAGGGACAGACAAATGTCCTAATTTCTTGTCACCATTCTAGTAGGACATAGGAAAATGGCCACAAATTCTTTCTCTATAGCAATCCATTGCTGAGGTCAAGATCTGCACACATGAAACCATATACTCCCTCAGCCTGCCACCACTCACAGCAACATCTTTCTAAGAGGTTCACTCCACTTATTTACATCACCTGATCTAGATTCTGGTTGTAGTTATCTACTAGCCCCCAAGGCCACTGCCCCTTCTTTTTTAAAGTTTTTAGTCGTTTGCTAAGTATTCCTTCTTCCCCAAGTTCTGCTTTTATGTTCTGCTCATAGGTCAATATATATACTTACGTCGCCTCAAATGCCCTGGCCTTCTAGTTCATCAACCTTATCAACTCCCACACTCAACCTGTACCTTTCCTCTACCTTAGCCCCACACATAAATGGTATTGTGTTTCATCTCACCATCAACCCTATTTGTTCCACTTCTATGATTAAGAAATCTATCCCACCATGACCTCCTATCTTTCCATCTTCTTCCATGCCTCATGTCTCCTAGTCCTATTTTGCATCCTCAACATGATCTCTAGTCCCTTCAAATCCCACCCAAGCTATCAACATTGCTCTCCTTCCTTCCACCTCACTGCTTTCCCAATCTCAATCCTGTTAAGTTAACCACTTCATCTCAGCACTGTTCTCTGTGCTTGAATAACCAGTCCTGTTGCTCTAGCACCATAATACGCAGGTTTACTACACATTACACTCTATCACTTATCCTATGTTATAGCCAAATTGGCTTTTTTGCTATTCTGCATGCATGACTCCTTTCTTTATATGCCTTTGCGTAGGCTTTTCCCCATTCCTGAAATGTACTCCCTTCACTCCTCCAGCTCAAAGAATTGTTACCCCTTTCCAAGGATCTGCTCAAGTGCCAACAGAGTTTGACTTTCTTGATCCCCCAAGCTACTATTTGCCTTGCCCTGCATACCCTGCTCCTTTCTAATTTATGTTATAAAGAAACTATTTACCTATATGTACTTATTTTGTTTTCTCTGGTAGCTTCTTAAGGAAAGGATTTTTTTCTCCTTTCTATTATCTTTACATTCCCAGTGCCTGGGAATAGTAGTCATTTAATAAATGGCATTGAATTGGTTTGATTTCAAATCTGCAAAGCATTTTACATAATTATCTCACCTGAGCCTCAAAACCATTTTCTGAAGTAGATACCTCAGGCACTACCATTCCAACTTTACAAAAGAAGAAACTGAGACTCAAAGAATTTAAGTGAGTTGCCTATGATCACACAGCTATGAAAATGAATGAATCAGACTTAGCTTTGTGACCAAGTCTAGCATTATCAGTTTCCTCTTAACCATTTTCTAGATATTGAGTTGAACAAATCTTAGTTTTATATATTAGAAGCTTTAAGTTATCATTTCTGAGAGTGCATTTTCCTTTATAGACCTCAATTTAGAAACAAAGCCCATGTTGAATTGGTATGACTAGTTACACAGTTTTAGCATTGATACAGAGAAAATTTTTGTTTTACTAATTTAGAAATAACAATGGCTTTTTTCAAAAAGAAAAATGACTATTATTGAAATGATTGGTTTTTAAGCATAAGAAATCAAATTAATACCTACACTTGAACATCTACCACAACTCACATCTACTAATTACATCACAGATCCTACAATGTCTGGCATAAGCTCCTTATATTTAAGACCTTACGATATAAAATATATATGGCAACCATACTATCAAGCAGTTGGTTTTATCTTTTCAGATAACTACATGATTTCTTCTAAAATATTCTGTTGCCAAGTAAATACAGTTCAAATGAGAGTTTATAAGATAATGTATCAAAATTTTCATAGATGATAGGCCCTTCATCCCCCAGAATTCTCAGTTTGAATCTTCCTTGACTCCAGGGAGAGATTAGGTTTCAAGATTTCCATGTGGTAGTCCACTAATTCTAACATGTCTAATTCTAATTATTAATCCATTCCAATTCTAACATGGCTAATTCTAACCCTAATTCTAACATGACTATCAGAAATTAACTTCAAATATTGACAAAATTAGTATCAAACCGCAAAGTTAAAAGCATAGGAGATAATTGGGTATATACCACAGCAAGAGGCTTACAAAGGAGATCCTTTATCATAACAACTCTATTAATATTTCCAAACAAGTATAAGAAGAGCCTCGGAATGTCAAGGCAGCCTATACTTTGTATGAGAAACAAACAAACAAAAAAACCCACTTGATTCTTTTTACTTGGTCAAAATTTGACTTAGAAAATAATGTTTCAAAGCAAATGGAGAAATGTTAGTATCTTCCTTTTAAAAAATGTGTCACTGAATGCTTCTATGTATCTATTTTTATAATAATGATAGAATATAAAAATAACAACTCATAATAAATCACCTTCTACACATTAAGAACACTACTTTCATTTAAAAAATATGATCATAAACCAGAGGATAGGAAAATTTCTGCATAGAAAATCTAAGATAAAAACATAACTAAAAAAGTAGACAAACATTGCAACTTATTAATGCATTCAAAAGACTATTAAAAAACTTTACAATTTAATTATTGGGAGATTACAGAACTGCTTCAGTGCTTCTGTACTGTGTTAAATAAGCTGTACGTGTGAGGAGTAATAAATGAAATTGTTAATTTTACTGCATCCTTAGGGAGTAGCAGGAGATGGGGTGGGGGTTACATTATTTAGAACTCCAAACGGATTTGGGTTTATATGCAGCAATAAATTCTAACTGTGTTGTTAATTAACCCTACCCCCAAGCTACTCTTTGCTTTAGGGTTTAAATGACACAGTGACTACTAGAATAACTCACCATTCATATTCTTAAAGATGTTTAGAATGGGGAGAATTTGTCGGTAGTAGGGCACCAAAGCCTCACCCACCATGTCAGCTGAAACAACCAGATGCTGAAGGACTTTGAGTGTGACACAGATGACCTGCCGGTTACGAAGATTCAATGCATCTGTATTGTAGAAAAAGAAACAAGAGAATTAATATCTACGGTGCTGAGGAGGATTGGGAAGAAGTCCTCTAATGGGAAAATTTAATTAAATTGTACTCTGCTGGGGATCATCAGTGGGCTTTATTAGGCTAGCTTTGAAAGATGGATTGTCATCCTGATGTTATAAAACACTGCCTTGTCTATTATTTGTTCCCACAACTAGTGCTAATGAACCCCAAGAATGTAGCTCATTATTCCCTCAGACTAACTAGGTTTTCTAGTTGTAACTTTGCCCATCCATCCCTCCCAAAAAGACCACCAATAAAAATTCCCTCAAAAACTGAGTAAGCACTATTGGGGCTGATGGAGCTTGTGAAAATTGATAGCAAATACAATTTTTAAGCAACAATCACCCTGTTTGGGGGGGTTAAATCTTATTTCTTTCTGTTTTAACAAGCCTTGTAATTTTTAAAACAATGAAACAAATGTTTGAAGAGGAAGGAAGTGACAAGCTTTTAAAGGTTTTACAAGTACTATAAATATTATTTGTGGATATGACCATAATATGCCATTCAGCATCCTAAAGACAGAGAAAATTAAGACTGAAAAATGAGGCAAAGCATATGAAATCTAGGTGTCAAGGATCTCAGAAAGCTTCTGAAAGCAGACAAATTATACTGGTACAGAGGAAGGACAGGCGGGATAGCAACAGGCTACTTTGAGATAATTGCCCAAAACTCTAGGGAGGCCTAAAAAGAATGAGAAAGCCATTGAAGGTAGAAGTTTTCACTTTACTGATAATCACCATTCTGAGTCCTCACTTAGTCAGTTTGTAGGAACAGGGATAGGGACCAGACCTTTAATTCTGTTAACACAAGGAACTCCTAGGTGAGCAAACTTCCTCTACTGTTGCAGATCTGCATCTTCTTTGTAACTTAAGAGAGTTATGTAAAGTTTTGAGACTTTAAATGACTTGCACAGCCAGTATATGCCACAGTCCAAACTGCAACCCTGTTATTCAGGGTTAGATTACTAGGGAGAAGTATAATGAGCAAGCAACATTATTTAGGGACAGGATGAGAAATGTGTTGTAAACAGTAGCATTTGCAAGACATAAAAGGTAATAATAATTTTAATACCATTCGCTATTAAAGTGAGAGTAAAAGACTAATGAAAATGCTTTCTTATACAATTCCAAAGGCATAAGTTCTTTTTTTCTTTCTTTGAAAAAAGATTGACCTGGATCACAAAGCATATACTGTTTGTAAGAATGATGATGATGATGATGATGATGATGAAGAAGAAATGAAATAGAGTATGGTCGAAACTTAATAATAATATGATTTCAGGTATTTGGGATGATTAACTAGATGATGTTTAAAACTAGCTGAAATTATTACAGTTCTACTAGGAGGCCTATTTGAAGATTCACAGAAAAAATGGGAAGAAGCCATATTGCAGCGCCACACAATGACTCTACCAGCCCCGTTCAGCATGACAGATATTCTGAGGTGTTCTACAACTTGTCTAGGGATGTACAAGTAGAAAAATATCACCAAATAATGTTAACATGAGTTGTACCTTGGGAGAAAAGATAAAATCACCTAGACTTTGGTGTAATCTCTAAAAATTTTTACCTTTAATTATATGACATTATCGACAAAAAGCTAAGATCCTATGGTCTAAATGGGTGGCTTCAAAACTGTGAGCCACTGAACTTCTAGAAGTTTCTTGATGGTGTCACTCAAAGACTTCACCTCAATACTGTAACACAAATAAGAGCATTAAAATCCTGTTAAAGGTCAATAGCCCCAAATCTAGTGTATTGTGCACATGAGAATAGCTGAGGAGCGGCAACATACTGTAGAGCTATACAAGGTGAGAGGAGTTTGATCTGTGACATACACTGGTTGTGTGAATCACTTAAATTTTCAAAACCCAATATAACTCTCTAAAATTCAGTTACAAAGAAGGTGCAGACCTGCTTCAGTGGAGGGGATTTGCTCAGCTAGGAGTTCCTTGCGCTAATAGAATCAAAGATCTGGTCCCTATCCCTGTTCCTAAAACTAAAGTAAGGACTCAGATTGGTGATTATCAGAGCAAGGTGACCATAAAACTAGGGGACCAACCAAGATATTACTAAAGAGCCCTTTGAACAATGACTTTTTACTACACAGTTTCAGACACATGCCCTGATAACAGCTACAAATCATATAAACCTAATATAGCACAGTTTCAAAGTAGCTGCTGTGTCTCCAACACTGGTGTTATAAAGGGTTTCGCTGAACTTAAATGTCTTGATTAAAGGAGTTAAGTGAGTTCACTAAACCTGTAAATGAGACTCAAGTTAAATATCTGCCTATTTACTTGTGTCTATATGTATTACTGAACTGACCAATATATTATTTGCTAGATGTCCTGCTCCTAGAACAGCTGATTTTCAGTAACAAATTGCATCAATGCACAGTTAACTCAACCAGAATTAATATGGCAGAAATAACTGCAAAAGAATTGAGCATAGGGCAACATGGCAGCCAACTGTTGATGCCCAATAAAAATGCTTAAATGCTTACTCTCAATGAGAACTAGGAAGGTGTTCAAGGTCCCCTTGAATGATTTATTAATGTTTGAACAAAGTTTTCAATATTTTGCAGGAGATTCAATATAAAGGAAGGGAGTATTCACAAAATTCCCTTAGAAATTTATCCAAGAGGAAGTTGTTTTATTCTTATTTTAGCTTTGCTTCTTTTATTTCCCTTCCTCTTTCTGGGGTACTTAGGATGTAGGACAAAGCTGGAAATCTCTCTGTCTTTACTTTCCCAATTAAATAAAAGAACCAAGAAATCAGTGTGTGTGTGTGTGTGTGTGTGTGTGTGTGTGTGTGTGTGTGTGTGCGTGTGTGTGTGTATTTAAGCAAACTTAAATATTTTTCTTTAAAACAGACATGCTAAGATAATCAGACAAGGTTTGATTGTGATAGCTTTAAAGAGAAAGTAAGAGTTATATTTAGTAGTCTGGTGATAGCCTTGAGAACTATTGTCTAACTATTAGTGAAGACTTTGAAGTGCAAAATTCAAAGTTTCGAAAAGATTTTCTGGAAAGAATCAGCTGCTATTATCAACCACCCATTAGAGTCATCCAATCCAGATCACTGTATTCTTTTCCATACTGCTGATTATATATGTCTTTGAGCAATATTACACACAGCCTCTTAAGAAGTTGAAACTGCTAACAGCAAAGTAAAAGTAGTGTAATAGAAGAACTCTTGCTAGTTACCTAAGAAGATTATAGGTGATTATAGATTAGGTCTTCAGACATAAACCACTATTGCTATGATTAGAGACCACGGATGAGAGAAGCTAAGTCACTGGATTCTGTATTTCCTTGGCCCATGCAGCCTCATCTTTAACCTTCCTTCCCAATTCTCCATTCTATACCGTGGGAACATATGCTCCCCTAATACCAGCTTTCTATGTCTTATTCTAGGAACTATAATCAAATGGACACTATCAATGCCTCTAGAAAAGGAATCTCAGTTAACTTGCCTGTTGTTCTCCACTAATTGTGCCTCCCCAGACCACAAGTCCCTTCCTTAGTCACTGCTCCCCTATATGTTTTTTCATCATAAGCTTCTTTTAGTCAGGATCTATCTTGCTATTGTGTTTGTATCTGCAAGGCTTAACACAGCACTTGGCAAGTAGTAAATAAGAAATACTTTTCATTCCTTCATTTTTGTAGGCTTTATTTGCCATAAATCATTAATAATCAGATAAGAAATCTAAAGTATTTCTTCCTTTTAAGAAACATTTGTGGTATTTCCCCTTTCTGAATTCCCATAGTACTCTGTACATCTTAGGGTGTTTTGTCACATCGCACCTTGAAGTTTAGTTATACATGCTAGTGTTATGTTACCCACAAGTTTGTAAACTCCTCAAGGGCAGAGGTGCATTTCATTACTATTTTGTCCCAGATCCATCATTTAAATAATGTGGGCTGCTCAGTTGTTGTTCAGTCCTTTCAGTTGTGTCCAACTTTTCATGTCCCCATCTAGGGTATTCTTGGCAAAGATATTGGAGTAGTTTGCCATTTCCTTCTCCAGCTCATTTTACAGAGGAAGAAAATGAGACAACAGGGTTGAGTGACTTGTTCAGGGTCACACAACTGTTCAGTGTCTGAGGCTGAATTTGAACTCAGATCTTCCTGACTCCAGGCCCTGCATTCTATCCACTGTGCCACCTAGCTACCAGTAGGCAGCTCAGTGGGAACATCTTTTTCTGTCATTGCAAACTGGCACCTTCTCTGCAATTTCTCTAAGCATCTGAGTTGCAGTGAAGAGAAAAAAAAAGATGAAATGAGGAAGACCCTAGTTCAAATTCTGTTTTAGACACTTAACAGTTCTGTGTAACCCATTTAACATTATAATGACCAGAATTCAAGAATAACTCAAAGGACCAAACAAATTTTTGTATCAATTGATGCTCCTAGTTCACTATTAATAATGTTACTGTATAAATTGTTTTTTTGGTTCTGATAATTTCACTCATCAGTTCATGTGAATCTTCTCATTTTTCTCTGAAACTGTACATTTAATAATTTCTTACAGTACACTGATATCATATTACATTGATATACAATAATTTTTTAGCCATTCCCCAAAAGATAGGCTCCCTTAATTTCAAAATTTTTTTTGCTACTATAAAAATATCTATTATAGATATTTTTGTATATATGGGTCCTTTTCCTCTTTCTTTGATCACTTTGGGTTACATATGCCTAGTAATGGTATTGCTGAATTAAAGGGAATAAACAGGTTAGTGACTCTTGGAGACACAGATCCAAATTGTTATCTACCTACATACTAGAAGTGATAAAACATTTTGGTATGACTCCCTCTTCAATTTGGTGATCATACTCAGTTCTATTTGGGAGAGATGATAATGGGTTTAAGGATATAAAGACCACAACAAGCTTAAATTATCTCCCTAAAAGATGCAATATTTTATATAAACTGGTCTTGATAT